TGTGAATTTTGGGGAACAGGGTAGTTAATAGGGTATCCAAATGTCTCAGCTGGAGACTGCAGCCTGGTTTTAGAATCCCAAGCTCAGGCTGCTGACCTGGAGGATTCTGTTTGGAGACATTGGTGGGTAGGACTGCAGGCTCCAAGGAAGAGCAGTCTAAACAAGCAGAGAGGTTTCCTTTGATTATCTTTCCCTTATATCTGATCTGGTAAGAGTCTTAGAATCCAGGATGTGCTGCTTGGAATAAGAAGGGTTTGTGGAACCTGGCATATTCCAACAAAGCATGAACACACTAGAGAAAAGTCAAGGTTTATCATCAAGCCAGAATGAGTTTGAATCATAGTCTGCCAGCATACTAGGTCTTGAGCAATGAATTAACCCGAGTCTTGGGTTCCTCAGCTGGAAACTATGGAGGACAGTGGGGCAACCTCACTGGGTTGTTGAAGTTTAATATAATCATGTGTATAGAGTGCTATGCCTGACATATGATAGGTGATCAAAGTAGAGTAGCTTAGAATAGGGGCATTATACCCCAGAACATTGTCAACAATGGGATGAAAGTTGGGTGAGGGGTCTGCAGCCAGCCCAGCCCATTGAGGATGAGATCCAGCTGTAAGCTCTTGGAGGAGCCCACCAGTTAGTGGGACCTCCTGAGTTCCTGGCATTCCCAACTAGGCTGAGCCATGCTTGGAATTTCAGGCCAGCATTTGGCATCAGACACTGATGTTTGCAGCCTGCCCCTCTCACTTCCATGGGGTGAGATTCTTAAGAAGAAAACAGGGAGGGCGCCTGGGTGGCTCAGTCGTTAAGTGTCTGCCTTCGGCTCAGGTCATGATCCCAGGGTCCTGGGATCGAGTCCCACATCGGGCTCCCGGCTCAGCGGGAAGCCTGCTTCTCCCCCTCCCACTCCCCCTGCTTGTGTTCCTGCTCTCACTGTCTCTCTCTGTCAAATAAATAAATAAAGTCTTTAAAAAAAAAAAAAGAAAACAGGGAAAGCCATGTCAGGGCTCTGGTCTGGGAATACTTGTACTGCTTACTAATAGTTAATTAGATAGAGATCCAGATTCTGTAGAGCTATGGAGAACCCTGGCCATGGAATCAGGGAGCAAGCTCAGGGCAGGATTAGCAGTCAGGAGGAAATCTAGAATGCCTCTCCTGAAATTGTTCCTGCCTTGGGAAAGGACTAGAGCAGGTTGGGCTCAAACTGTAGAAGTGAATGAAAGTGAATGAATGGAGAGGAACGTGCATGGGCCTGTAGCCAGGATAAGCAGGACCCAGCTTCCAAGGCCCTCTGCTATCTATATTACCCCCAGTGGTGGTCAGGATATAAGGAGGCAAGAGACTGCAGGTGTGTGATAGAAATAAAACCATTTTACTGTTTAGAATAAAGGACACACTATAAAAAGTGAACATTATGCAACATTACAGACAATATACATTCACGGAATATAAAATTCATAAATAACATGGAGGAAAACTGTAAACAGTGCTACAAAATTTAGCAACAAATACATTCCTTCCAGACAGGGTTTTCTCTAGTTGGTTTCTCTCTATCACTTCTGGGTCTCAGGACAGCAGACTGGCTAAAGGGAAGGGTGAGGGCCTGGGAGAATCTATGAAGCCCCTCCCCTCAAAGCACAAACTGGTCTTTAAGTTCTTTCCCTCCTCACACTTCCCAAGAGCCAATTTGGAGGCTGTTGATATCCATCTCCCCTACACTCCCACATTTTTTTTTTTTTTTGCTTCTGTCATCAGATTTTTAAAGTGTTTTCCTTGTGTAAAACTACTGCAGTGATATTTTTACTTTTGGTAGCCAGGAGCCAAACACTTGGGTGCCATCTTGGGGTAATCCACATTGGCGACCATCAAACAAAATATGAAAGGCCGGGGCAGGGGAGGGTACTCTCTCCCGGGGGGCCACAGTGTCTCTGAGAAAAAGTTCTTCCAATAAGTCATTTGTTTCTTTAACTGCTCAAGAACCAATGTATGAAAAATGGTGCTCATGGGCTGTACCTCAACTGCCATGATATAAGTCTGGAGCTGGGTGATGGTAAAGGATAAGGGTCTCCAGTATTATCTATCCAACCAGATGGAGCACAGGTCGGAGAGGAGAGAGGCTGGGTATAGTGCTGTCCGGATAGGGAGGCAGAAGAGTTAGCCAGATGAGGCCAAGAGGTCTTGGAATCATAGCTCCCATGGCCCTGGATTCTTAGGAGAAATCATGGCTTCCCAATTGGCTGGTCAAAGATCAAGTGGAAGAAGAACGGGAATGACCAGCAGACTGCCCAGTGCCAGTTGACATGAATGCACTTGCTATTTTCCCCGCCTCCTTCCTACTCCAGAAAGCACTGGGATGCCGATAAAGGGAGGAGGATGGATGAGTCTCAAGGGCTAGTTCCTTCTCATTTCTCCAGTTTGCCAGTCGAGCTGCCTGCACAGTAGAAGTATTTTACCCTCCATTCCACTGTAGAATTTGATTCAGGAAAATGGCGGCATGTGGGTTTCATTTTTTTTTTCTCTTAAACACAATGTACACATATTAAAGCCTACACATGACACAAGATTTAGCAAAATAAAACGTTCACAATATGATTGAAATACGGAAGTGTCTCAGCTACATAAATGACTTTAAATTATACAGTAAGTGAACAGGTGAAATAAACAAAGCTGTAGCTTATAGAAAGCTCAAAAACCGCCCTCTGCCAACAGCACTTTGCAGAGGACCCTTCTTGCCCAGGACCTGCTGTTCTCTTCGCCAGGGCCTGACAGATGGGACTGTGGTTCCACCACCATTTCTGCAGGGGAAACTTCAGATGACTCATGCTCAGGCCTCACCCCAGGTCCTGCCTTGTGTGAGTGGAGGTGGCCCCACCAGGGACCAAGAATCACTGATGCTTCATAGAGGGGATGCCGATGTCCATTTGTGGGAGGACACTTGTGTGAGTTGGGTCAGGGGTTCCACCTTAGAAGACTTTAAGGTTGAAATCAAGAAAATCTCAGAACACCAAGGCTGGGGCTTACTTCTTAAAAACCACTGGCCTGCTGACCTCAGCTCCTTTTGCTTATACTGCTGCATTGAGAGGGCAAAGCCTCCCATTTCCCACCTGCCAGATGGCATGACCATAAAGTAAAAGATACAAGAAAATAAAATGGATCCCACAGAAGCCGGATGCTTGTACTGCCTTCCCACTGAGGAGTTCTACCAAACACCTTGCCTGGGCGTGTGTGTGTGTGTGTGTGTGTGTGTGTGTGTGTGCGCGCGCGCGCGCACGCACGCACGCAAGACATTACAATGTGTTGTTTGCTTCTTTTTTTTTTTTTCTCCTGTTTCAATTGGCAGCTCTGTTTCCTAAAGTGGAATGAACTGAAGATACAAATACTAAGAGGATAAATACCCATAATCTGAAAAAAGAGACAGAGCAATCATGTTAAATGTCACCGTCCTCCCACCCCCAACTCCGTAAAATATACATTCTCACCTACTCTTGGCATCTCACTTTCAATACTTAAACTTAAAATAATTTTATTTAATCAGAGAACTTATATTATAGTTTTATTTCAAAACACACACACACACACACACACACACACACACACACACACACACACAACCCTACAGCTGATTGCAGAGTCAGGCTTCCCCAGTGACCACCGATTTTAAGCTCGTGAGGTGAAGACCTTGGGAGATGGTGTCCGCCCACCAGTGAGCTGGGGTTAGAAGAGCAGGCTGTCTCGAAACCCAGGAACGTGGCCGTCTAGCTGAGGCAGGACACTTGGCAGCTTTCCCTCCTGTGCCCAGGCCCCTGACCCACACTAACTCTCATCTCCCACCTGAGCCAAGCCAGTGAGGCAGTTAAACGAAGGCCCCAAACATGAAGCAGGAGAAAAAGATAGGGACAGAGGTCAGATGACCCCAGTTAGAGGGATGTCGAGAGTGTTCAGGGTTTCAAATTTTAATTAAAATGGAAAAAAAAAAAAAGTCAACTTGGAATGTCATGATTTTCTTCAAACAAGCAACAACAAAAAAATAGAAGAGATTATACTACTGGCATATTTAACAGCATTGAACAGAATTCTGTGTCCTGTAAAAAATTAGCTTATGTCCCCGTGTGGGTATATGCAAATATGTATACAAACACATCCCCCTAGGCGAGCTAAACCCTACTTCGGAAATAGTATTCTCTACCCAAATCTACTTGGCTATATCTGTGGATAGTGTACGGTGTGTGTATTCCTCCAATTTACATAAAGGCAGGCTCCTGGCCAAATCTACGAAAGAGTTTTCCAGGAGGAAGTCCTGTGGGAGATAGAGAGAGGAAAGACATTCCTCTCAGTCTTTCACCTGAGCTTTTGTACAAGGCAGGCACATTGCCTCCTGACCTCAGGCAGATGTTTAAGTCTTTATCAACTAAGAAAGTTCTGTTGTTCTGGCCTGGCTGCTTGCTCCAGACTCAGCAACATCTGGTCAATCCCAGCGGCGCTGGCCTGGGGGAACGGTGTGTACTGCGTCCTCCCAGACCCTCTCCTGCCATCTCTTCCTCCCCTCCCCCCCCTTACATGCAGACACAGACAGACAGTCTGGTTGGGACGTGCAGTAGCATCTCCTTGGTGTATAAGATCTTCTGCGTACCTTGAGTCTATCTGCTTGCTGCCCTGGACTGGTCCTGAAACGGTTGACCTGTCAGCATTCTTCCTTGTCTGTGTCTTTTATATACTGGGGTGGAGGAGAAGGGCCGAGGGAAAAGGGCCTGGGGGATGGTGAGGTGGGGAAGAAGAGAGAGGGGTAGATGTTAACAATGTCCAAATGGGGTGGTTTTTCGATATTTGTTTTCCTAAAAAAATAGATTATATTATCGCGAAGAAGAGGAGTGTACATTCCTCATTCTTTCTGGCATGGCACCAAAAATTCCCGCCTGGAAATGGGTGATGTCAAGGCCAAAAAGAAGGGGTAGGGTGGGGCCAGGAGGATGGTTCCAAATAAACTCCATATGACAGCATAGACTTTTCCTTAAGTGTTCGAAGTGCTAAATTTGCAAGAAAACAGGCACTAATGTCATTGTCATCATCTGGGAAGAGTTAGTGTCCGAGGGAAGCTCAGCGGGAAGGGAGGGAGGTGAGGTGGGGTAGGGTCTGGTGCTCAGGGGTCTGTGGGATTGATGATGCTTTTGTCCGGGGGTGCCCATCCTCGGTACCAGCTGCAGTAACCACCCTTCTGCCGGATGCAGGCGTAGTGTTTGGACTGGTAGCCAGGGTAGCCGAAATTGGAGAGCATGTCGGTCCAGAGGCACTCGTTCTTGGAGGTCACAAAGCAAGGCAGGTAGTAGCAGGATTTGATCTGCAATTAGATAACAGCCAAAGGTTGGTGGGCTCTGTCACGGTGGACCCGGTCCTGATGCTTCCTCAAGTCTAGATGCCCACCACTGTAGGTGGAGCCCAGCCACATCAGTCCCTTAGTGAAAATGATAGAAGTAATACTCACTAACACTTACTAAGCACCACTGTGTACCAGATATTCTGCTCAGTGCTTCTATGTTATTCTCTTTAGTTCTCATAACAGATTTAGCTCCCTTTACAGATAAGGAAATAGAGGCTCAGAGAGGTTAAGTAACTTGCTCCAGGTTACACAGCCCAAAAGTCGTGGAATTAGACATTCAAGAGAGCTTTTCCAATGGCAATAGGCAAGGATGAGCAATCTCAGCTGTTGTGAGAATTGAGGAATTAAAAAGATCAAAGCATAAACTTTGGGCGTCCAGCTGCCCTAGGAGAGAAATCAGACTCAGTGAGCTGTGTGACCTGAGGCTAGTTACTTGAGCTCTCTGAGCCTCCACTTTCTCACCTGCAAAATGAGCACAGTAGTAACGAAAATGCACAGAGTTGTTGTGAGAATTAGTGAGAGAACAGTGCAGCTCCCTCCCGCAGCAGGAAGGCTGTGTGCCATGGCCCTGGGCTTGAGTCAAGGAATTGGGCCTGATTGAAGAGTGACCTTCTGCAGCATTTGGTATCAGCAGTCCTGCACCAGCTCAGCCACCTGCAGCAGGGGCCACCAATGAGGCAGCTGCCCTGGTGAGCCCACTTGGGATGCTCGACAGGACCTGTCAGCATAAGGATCTTGTACCTGCCACAACCTTGAATCACAGGAGGGGCCAGGGATGCTGAAGAGTCTTTGTGCCCTGGCAGCTGCCAGGTGGGCAGCGTGGAGGGAGCCGATGACAGCAGAAAGGCATTCTTCCCCCACCTTCTTCATTGCTCAGCCTGGGGCCAACATTCCTCACCACCCCTTTTCAGACCTGCCCTTCTGCCCTGGCCCGATGTGCATGCCTGTCTCAGCACAAGGGCCCAGTGCCCAGTACAGCCGGAACTGACGTTTTTCGGGCTGTGGGCCAGCTCTCCCCCCGTGCCTGCCCTCTCCAGGGCTTACCTTGCAGTTACAGCCCAAGTGATACCGGTAGTTGAGCCCCTTGCGCTGGGAGAGGGTGAGCTGGTCCCACCTCTCCACGAAGTTGCACAGTCCTGTGTACATCTTACCATCATAGACGCGGCCTAGAGGAGGAAAGAGGACAAGGGGAGAGATGTTTTGTCCAGAGCCCAGCCACAGGCAAAAGAATTCTCACCCCCTGAGTACCCACCTTAGACCAGGTACTGTGCTAAGTACTTTCTAGTCCTACGATTTTATTTCATCCTTATCCTTCCCAACACCTTTGAGGCCAAACTGTGTTCCCATTTCCCAGGTGGGGAGAACCGAAGCTCAGAGAGGTTAAGTGATTTGCAGAAGGTCTTAAACCCATGAAGTGCTGGAGCTGGGACTAAGGCCAACTCATCCCTTCCCTCATCAGTGGTTGCTTGGTTTTGATCTTATTTTTTCCTTTCCCACATTGACTGCCTGCAGGTGGGCAACTTTCAAAGATAGACCCAATAAATAGATTGTGAGGTATAGAGGAACAGGTACTAGAAATCCCTTTTTATTTATATAGTATAGTAAAGCTGAGAGACTGCAGAACTAGGCAAAACTACATTTCCTCCACGGGGCCGGTGATGGAGGTGAGACTAAAACCCAGCCTCCGGGTAGAGCCTCGAGTTCCTGCCCCAGGCCAAGCAAGATGCACCCTACACGAGCTACTCCTTACAATTCACTGGGCATGTGGCCAAAGTCCTAAGGACACTTCTCGGTCAACTACTGCTTCTCTGTCCTTCTGAAACGAAGGACTGGTGGACCTTGGCCAAACTCTGGCCTAGATGCTAGAGTTGACCGTTACCTGTCAGCAGGTACTGGTACTTGTTGACTTCTAGCTTCAGGCCACAGAGGCTTTCAGAAGCTTCTGTGTGGATGTACTGCACGTGGGGCATCTTGGTGAAGCCTCGGTACATCTGTGGGCAGAAGGAATGTCATGAGAGGAGGACCAGGGCTCAGAAAGCATGCTGTCATTTGTTCTGTGGAGATCCGATTTCCCTGATCCACCATGTGTGGCCAGTCACTGACTTATCCACCCCAGGGCCTGCAGTCCAGATAAAGCCACCTGTTCACCTCTTGTCTGAGCCATGGTTGGTGCCTTTCCAGAGAAACCTTCCCATCCAGCCAGTCACATCGCCCATTCCAGCACCTCCAGAACACTACACCAGATATATATTCTTCGCATATCCCAACACCTTTTCAGAAATCCAAAGAATTTGCTGTGAAAGGGGTCCCGCCTGCCTCATCAACCTTGGCTCCCAAATTCCAAGAAGACAGCCAGCCAGCATTCTAATGACATCTCTATGACATTTCTCAGTGTATAAAAGCATTCCACTTACATTCCCCTCACTGTATCCTCCCAAGAACCCAAGGAAGTAGGTATTATTGTACCCATTTTACAGATAAGGACTCAAAAATTCTGTTTGCATGGTGAAAGTGCATGGTGAACTCAGGCCAGGATTCTCCATGCTTTTATTTTTCTGAGCATCTGTTGAAAGTACTGGGTTCCTTTACCCCAAATAAAGCATATAGACACATATACAAAATTTCTAGATTTTTAACTAAACACTTTAGTATGTTGCACTGTATGAAAATGCTGATATTTGGCCATTTTTATCTACAACATAATCTAAGACAGTGGTTCTCAACTGAAGGCCATATTACCCCCACCCCAGGAGACATCTGGCAATGTCTGGAGACGTTTTTGATTGTCACAGATGGTAGGCAGTGGTGGTTGCTATTCACATCTGTGGGAAGAGGCTTGGGTTGCTGTGAAATATCCTATGATGCACAGGACAGTCCCCACAGCAAAGAATTATCTGGCCCCAAATATGAGTAGTACCAAAGTTGAGAAATCCTCCTCTAGTATTAACCCACCTAATCCCCATGACAGCCCCGTGAGACAGGAACTATTTATGCCCGTTTAATAGATGAGGAGGCTGAAGCCCAGACAGGTAAAGTGGCTTATCTGAGGCCATACGGTTGGCAAAGGGCAGAGGTAGGATTCCAGGAAGAAGAATCTGCTCTGGAGTCCATGCTCTTTTAACCATTATCCTGTGCTTCTCTCACTGTGGCCTCCCAAGTTCATGCCCAAGGGCCTCTGATACAGGCAAATGCTCTTTATGGCTATTGTGCCTTCTTGATATCTGCACGTGCTCAGAGCCACTGGTGTGAACATAACGAGGCTGAACCCACTTGGTGATTCGAGGGCAAGACCACGAGTCTCACGTGGGTTCAGATCTGTTGAGAAAACTCTGTTAACTGTGTGAGCTGGTGAGGGTAGGAGGGGGCACCGGGATGTGGGCCAATCCCATTATCCCCCGGGTTCTCAGAGCACATGGGCCCTACCTAGACGGCTGGTGGTCTCCAAGGGTTTACTACAGGACAGTGTCTCTCCCTTAGTTCCTGGCATGGGTTATTAATTTACTTATGGTAATTAATAAAAAGCCAGACATCACCTCACTGGTGTCTCATCTAAGTGCCTCCCGTTTGCACTAACGGGCTGGGTTTTCTCCTTATTTTTCTTTTAAGTGGGGACTGGCTGGTGGGGCTAGGTGGTCCTCAAGGACCTCCACCATCATAAAGGGTCTGTTGGACCCACAGAGTTGGGGAGCCTCTGCCTTTTTAAGGGGAATACTGTTCTAATTGTGTGCAACCATCAGTGCAGATGGTTTTAATTTACCTGGCCTCTCTCATAACCCTCTTCCCCCCGAGAGGCTCACCAGCTGAATGAGGAAACGCAGCCAAGCGCTGTGAGAACTGCTGTCCACACTCGGTTTTCAATTATGCCGCGGGGGAGCAGGGGTGGGTCACATCGTACCCCCCACTTCCTCAGTGATGGATGGTGCCTCTCTGGCTTTAACAGGAACCATGCTTAAGAGCACTGCTGTGTGCGTGCCATCAAGTGTGGCCTTCGAAGAACATTCCCTACACTCCCTTCTGTGCCCAGCAGCTTCTCCTCTGGTGTGGCTGTTCCTTGAGTTCCTGGCAAATGTTTCAACTCAGTCCCCACTCTAGTCTTTTCGGACCCATGCCATTAGAGCCTCAGTACAACCTTGTCAGTCTTTCCCCTTCATGTCCTCGCCGCTTTGTGAGTGAGGATCAAGGCCCTGTGTAGGGTCCAGTGACTTCAGCTGCTCAGTTGAGTTCTCACTCCTTTTGAATTTGAAGGAATCTTGATTTCAACATGGCTTGTAGCGCTTGCATGCAGAATCAAAACGTTAATGCGTTGTGAACGATGAGGTCTGAACAAGCACAGTGCTGCCTTTTAGGGTCAATTCTGAATTTAACCATATGGTAAAGCAGATTGTACCCATTTCGTTATCTTTTCTTTATAATAATCCCATCTTGACCTAAATATCAACCCTGAAATTATCATTAGGTCTATATTCATAGAGACTGAGAATTGGTTTGACAAATTGAGGAGGGTCATGATAGGTTTGTAATGCCCTGACATCAGAGAACCATAGACTCTCAGAATCGGAAAAGACAGTCAAATCTAGTCAACGCATTGGAGGATTAATGGTCAACTCAGGTTCTGGAGACAGCCAGAGTTACCTTGTGTGTGTGTGTGTGATTCTCTTAGCAAATTTATCGTACTCTATATGGTATTATTAACTATAGTTACCATGCTGTACATTAGATCTCCAGACCTTACTCATCTTAGTTCTGTAGAACTGAAAGTTTTTACCCTTTGACCAACATCTCCCCATCTCCACCACCTCCCAGCCCCTAGTGGCCATCATTCTACTCTTCTGTGAGAAGTTCAACAGTGAGTTCAACTTTTTTAGATTCCACGTAAAAGTGAGCTTATGCTGTATTTGTCTTTTTGTGTCTGGCTTATTTCACTTAGCATAATGTCCTCCATGTTCATCTGTGTTGTCACAAATGACAAGATGTCCTTCTTTTTTAAGGCTGAATAATGTTCTGTCGTGTGTAGACACACACCACATTGGACTCTATAAGCCTCTGGGCCTCCCCTCTTGGTAGCATGTACACAAGAGTTCAAAGAATTTAGCTTCCCTTGGGGTGAAGGGACAAATAAGAAGGAAATTTCTGAATCTGGGGGCTTTGAATATTTCTTACGGAATGCCTGGTTTTCACTCTGCATTGACAGCATGAAATATCACCATCTTGTCAAATACGGCTGGCATGCCTGAAGATGAGCACTGTGCTGGATGCTGCTTTACACCATGAACTCCTTTAAAACCACAACTTATTCGCATTTGCAGACCAAGCAACTGAGTTTCAGAGACATTAGGTACTAGACTGAGATAAATGCAACCAAAGTCTTTCCTTCTCTATAAGAGAAAAGCAGAGCACATGAGAATGCAGGCCTTCTCTGTTGAGGGCTAGCTGAGAGCCCCAGGCTAGAAAGAGTTACAGGCAATGAGAAGGAGGAGAATGGCTCCCTGTGTGCTGGAGAGTCAGAGAGGCTTCCAGCTGGAGCTTCAAAGGCAAGACCTTGCAATAGTGCTCATTTGATTAGACAAACCACTGAAGGAAGGAAGTCCCCAGGGGCCAAGCATTCCAATTGCCCAGCAAATCTGTCCTGCCCAGAGTCAGGACATGCAAAGCACATGACCAGTGGGCCTTCCCATGGAATGCCCCCCCCCCAGGACCAGCTGGGACATGATGTTCCCCACGTGCTGTCCCCTGTCGTGCTAGCCTGGGAGCATGTCTCCACTGCACAAACTGCAGCTCCTGGCAGAGCGGACTGCTTTCTCATGGTCCCGGTAGGAGATAAGGTCCCGACAGATTAGAGTGACCAATTCTGGCAACTGCTCCAGCTGTCTCCAAGTTTGAGTTTGCAATAAGCTCCCTTAACATTCGTACACTTCCCCCACACACACCTGTGCGTGTGTCTCTGCCTGTAACGTGTACCAGAGGTTCTGGAATTAGCATACGGGAGAGAGTCCGCCTGCCTTTCATCTGGGTGAGAAGTTTGAGGGGAGGAGGTGGGAACTCTGAGACAGAGGGAGAGGTGAGACAGGGAGGCTCAAATTGCCATGTTCTCCGAGCTCCTTTAGTTCTGCTCTAAGGGAGCCCTAGCTCACCCTGTCCGACTCTCTGGGGTAGACTCTAATCCACCAGAACAAAGCCACTTAGGGACCAGTGCCAAAACTCACGCAGGCTCTCCTCTCTGGCCTCTCCTCCTCTCCCACAAAGAGTTTTCAATGCACCCTTTGCAGGATGTTGCAAGTCAAGAGCTACACTGCTGGATGACAAACGAACAAACCCAAGCTAACCTCTTTTTGTTCCCTTGGGGAACTACATACAAATGGGGTGGGGTAGGCCCCAAGGGGGCAGGAATGATGAATCAGCCCGCAGCTCCACTGCTCTGTAATCTGCCTGTTGGCAAAGGCTCTATAGCTTCCCTGGCGTTTGCCACTTTCTAGTCCTATGAACTTGACTGTTACATGACCCTTCCAAGTCTCACCTGTAAATTAGATAATGTGTATCTACTTCATAGGGTTTTTATGAGGACTGATCCATGCAAAGCTTAGCAGAATGCCTGGTACACAGTAAGCTCGGTACATATCACTTGAATAGAGTCTTATATTCATTATAACAAATATTATCTGGGTATCCCCAGCCTGAAGCACAGTGCTCAGCACAGAGGGAGTGAGAAGGAAGGAGAGAGGAAGGGAGGGGAAAGGTTAGATGAACTACTCCAATCCCTGCACCCCATACCTGATTAGCAGACTGCTCCCTGGAGACCAGCAGAATTCAGTGGCCTCTCAGGACAGAAGGGCAATGACCCTTCTGTGAGTTATCTAATATTTGGCTGGTAGGAGGGGCAGAGTTAATAAAAAGGCATTACATAGTGATTGATGATCAAAGCGAGATGGCAGGGAGATTTGGGGAGCCATGTAAAGAACACACAGGATTGGGAAGGAATCCCAGCACCTTAGCTTGGGAACCAGATCTGTCTTTAATTAAATGCATGACTGGGCAAGTCATTTCCCCCTTTGAGCCTGTGTCAGAAGTAAAACAAGGAATTTTACTTTCCAGTGCCCCACACCCTAGTTCCATGAATCCGGGTGAAGGATAGTGAATGGATAGTGTGATGCCACCGGCCGGGGAGTGGGTGTGTGTGCTCTGAAGCTGATGGGTGAACAAATGTAATTTGGCCTCCAAACAACCCCTCAGAGGCTGGCCTGACACCAGTGAGGGGGGGAATGGGACATTCTGATCACCCTGGTGCCCAGGCGCCAAAAGAAGCAGGGAAGCTAGGCAAGCTTAGGAACCACTGTCTCCCAGCTGTTCCCTCAGATCTGCTGGCCAGAGTATCCATTCTGTGATGGGTTGTTCCAGAGTGGGGCAGCGTGCAGGAGAGGGAGTGTTGCCCGAACCTCTGCTTTGTCTAACATGCTTTGGCATTTGCTCACTGGCTGCCGGGGGCTGTACAGTGGGGGTTTCTTGGGTTGTTGTTGATTTTCTTGGTTCCCCCCTCCACACTCTTCTCTCCCCATGGCTGTCTGAAGACATAAGCTGGTCCCATGACCAGGCTTGGGCAGCCAAGGGCACCTAGCCAGGGCTGACTCTGGACATTACATAACCAGAAGGCTGTGGATGTTTCCAAAGTTGAATCCAAAGCAACAGGTTCCACGAACTTAGTACATCAAACTTCAGGCCTTAGGATGCAGGAATAATGAGGCCTGGAAGTCTGCCTCTGGAATGGTTGGGTATCCCCATTCAGTTCTACCTGGGTGTCAAGCCTTGTCTCCTCTGGGGAGTTTTCAGGCCAGTAGGGTCTCACCCTCATTTCTCCATTTAGATGGATAAACATCCACCAAGTCCCTGTTGCAAGCCAGGTCCTGCTCTAGTTTCTGGGGATGGAGATATGGGCAGTGAGTAAAAGGGCTGGCAGTCCACTTGGACCTGAGCATACCCCATCATGAATTTCTGATTAGTCGTGCATGTGTGTCTTCGCTCTTCTCTCCTGACCTGACTATACTTCCTTAACATAGGAATCCCATCTTTCTCGTGGCCTCCATGGCTCCTGGCACAGGGTGCTGCACATAGGGTGGCGCTTACAAAAGTGGGGTGGTGGACCAGGTGCTGAGCTATTCGGGGTGAGTGAGTACCAGCCCTCTATGCTAAGGCAAACGTAAGTACCCCTTTCTGGCACCCAAAGCAGCTCTTGCTTAGAAGTAACACCACACAAAGAGGTGCCTGGGCGGCTCAGTCAGTTAAGCGTCTGCCTTCGACTCAGGTGATGATCCCAGGGTCCTGGGATCGAGTCCCGCATCGGGCTCCCTGCTGCTCAGAAGGGAGCCTGCTTCTCCTTCTGCCTGCTCTGCCTGCCCCTTCCCCTGTTTGTGCGCGCCTGCTCTCTGATAAATAAATAAATAAAATCTTAAGAAAGAAAGAAAGAGAGAGAGAGAGAGAGAGAGAGAGAGAAAGAAAGAAGAAAGAAAGAAAGAAAGAAAGAAAAAGAATGAAAAGAAAAGAAAAAGAAAGAAAGAAAGTAACACCACATGTGTCCCAGGGCACTTAGAATCCTGAAATGCCTGAGCTGAGAAGAGCTCTTAGGGGCACTAAGCCCAACCCTGTACTGTTTTTTGGTGTTTTTTTTAAAGATTTTATTTATTTATTTGACAGAGAGAGAGACAGCAGGAGAGGGAACACAAGCAGGGGGAGTGTGAGAGGGAGAAGCAGGCTCCCCGTTGAGCAGGGAGCCCGACGCGGGGCTAGATTCCAGGACCCCGGGATCATGACCTGAGCTGAAGGCAGACGCTGAACGACTGAGCCAGCCGTGCACCCCCCCAACCCTGCACTGTTAACAGGTGGCTAATTGGAGGCCCAGGAAAGGGGGGATTCCAAGGTAAGCAGGCTATTTAGGTGTAGAACCGAGACAAGGAAGCAGGTTCTGCAGGTTTCAAATCTGATGTTCTTTTTGGTAAGGTGGACTTCCTTAGTGTGCTTCATAATGTTAATATGCTCAGGAATATGTTCAGTTATATGAATATACTTAGTAAACAGTGCTAACCACCTGGGATGCAAGCTCTGGGAACACAGGGAAAGAGGGTGCGGTTCCTACTCCAGGATAAGGTTCCTGTGATCAGCCAAAGTTCAGTGTAAAGATTCGAGGAGTTAAACATAAATGGTAACCTCAGCAACTGCATAAGACCAATTTTGAAACTCAAAACTTAGAGCTCCGAAGAGCCTGTAAGACAAACTGGTCCCATCCCCTCATTTTACAGATGGGAAGATCAACACCCAAAGAGGGACAGTGACTTGGCCAAGGTCTCTCCGTTACCAGGGACAAGGCTGTCCGCCGCCTGGTTCCAGAGTCGAGCCTCTTAACAATGGCCTCTGAGGGACTCCACTTGCGCTGGCTCTAGGGTGAAGCAGCCACCTTCCTCCCACTCCCTGCCATCCCTTTCTTCTGCCTCAGCAATGCCCTCTCCAGCAGTGGGGAGGGCTACGCACACCCACCTTGCCTCCCCTGGCTAGGACTCTACTGCCAAAAAACCTGAGAGCTCTCCTGGAGCCGGATTATGTCACTCACCTTCATCTGCTTGATGGTGTAGACCAGCGTGCCAAAGGGCCCCTCCTTCACCAGCTTCTTCCCTACCACCTTGGCCCGGATCACTGCAGAAAAAGGCAAGACACAGAAAGGAAGGAGGTTAGGGAGACTTGAACCACATCCGGGACCACATCTTAGATTGGGTGCCTGGAATTGCTTTCTTACCTCTGGGCCAACTTGAGTAGATGATTGTGTTTATAAAAGCAAGAATTCCGAGGACAGACACTTGGGGGTGGGAGAGGAATGGAGGCGAGAAGGCAGGCAGTCATCATTCAACGTAATCATCCCAAATGTTCACAGTTGCCAACCCTGGAAATTCCTAGGCTGCATTCACCCCTAGAGGAGTTTCTTAACTCTGGTTTTACCATAATCCAAAATCTACTGCTCTTGTTAGAGCCTCTTGCCATCCCTCCATTGTCCGTCTGACAATTGCCTGGTCTCCCAGACCTATTCTCTTTCCACCAGGACCTCTTCCTGAATGCTACTTCATTTGGGGCTCTCCTTTGCATGCATACATTCACTGAGTCCTGACATACCTGCAGGATTGCAATGCGTCCCAGCCTCTATCCATGGCCGGTCAGCATTCTGATGGGGCCCTGCATTCCTAGCACTTAGATGGATGGCAAGTTATGCAGTAAAGCATAGCTCAATTAGGGTGCGGTGGAGGAGGAAGAAGTCGGGAGCCAACAGAACTGTTCTAACCCCAGCTCTGCTCTTTATGGCTATTATGACTGTGGGCAAGGAACTTTGTTCCTGGCCTCCAATTTCCTTTTCTGTAAAGCCGGGATAATAATGGTACCAATCTCCTGAATTGAAAGGATTAGGTAAGATAATGCATGTGAAACTCAGCACCGTGTCTCCAACATAGTATATGTTATATGAACATTATTGGTATCATCATCATCATCACCACCAAAAATGGCATGGGCTGACCATGGAAATATTGCTGCCATTAAAAGTAGCTCCCATTTATCACATGCCAACTGTATGCAGTAGTACATCTCATTTATTTACTCCTCAAGACTGCTGAAAAGGGCAGTATCACCATCCACATTATACAGACAAGGAAACTGACAGAGAATTAAAGCCACTTCCTCTTCTGAACCTATTTTCTCCTCTGTAAAGAGAGTGTAACTCTACCTACATCAAAGAATTAGAATGAGGATTAAACAAAAGATCCTATGAAATTTCTTAGTACAACATCTGGCAGAAAGGAGTTGCTTAGTAAACATCAATTGACTATGAACAGGAAAACTATTAGACCCAATGTGAGGAAGGCTGTAAGATAGGCATTTACTACATGCAGTGAGAACACAGAGGAGGGATGGATTTACTTTGAGATTATAAGAGGCTGTGCATTCTTTTTGTATTTTATCTGAAGAATAAGCACCCAGTAGCTGTCTTCAGATAGTTTATAGAACTCGCACATGGAGGAATAATGGACAGATCTTAAAGACAATTCAGAAATTACAGAGAAGTTGTGTTCATTGGCTCAACCCAAAAAAAGTCATCTAATAACAAAAACTGGCAAGAGAGGGGGGTCTGGAAGCTCTCGTGCTAGGACCTTGCCCAGAACGGAATGGATTTTACATGTATAGCAGCCATGCTTTGAGTCACAAACTGAACTCTTCAAGCTCTAAGATCCTGTCACTCTTCTTACCTCTAGTTGTACTTAGCCCCTAAAAAGAGTAGGTACTCAATAAATGTCTGTTAAACAGAATACCACACACACACACACACACACTCTCTCTCTCTTTCTCTCTCTCTCTCTCTCTCTCTCTCTCTCTCTCTCTCTCCTGCCCATTCTGGTAGCTCCATTATCCTTCCCCATTTTGGACGTCCCACCATGTTTCTCAATTCATTGACTCTAATCTCTTAAATTAAAACAAAACAAAACAACCTTTATTAGGAACCAATCTCCGCCACCCCAACTGGTTCTGCCTTGTTCCTCCCCAAACGAGTTTGGATCCCACTCTTCCAGTCAGACATGAAGTCAAGACCCAGATGAATCAATAGCCCCTCCAGACCTTCTTGCCAGGGAGGGTAAAACACAGAGCCCATTGGCGAAGTTAGCAATTTAGCGGACTCAGCTCAGATTGGGAGGAGGCGAGTGGCTGTTTCCAAGTCCGCTGCAAAAACGAGAGGTTGGCAAGATTCCAGGCCAAGCTCTCTCAACATTCTGCCTCCACCTCTGTGTCTAACTTTGTAGCAGCATCCTCGGCAGGGAGCCAGCCTCCCAGAGGCCCAGGGACTATTTCCTCTACAGTAACTCCCACAGTCAGGTTGTAACAGCTTAACTGTTGGGCAGAGAGCATATCTGCCAGGACTCTACTATTGATTCTTCCTGAATTGATTTGGCTCCATCCTCTGCTGCTTCATTAACACAGAAGGTAAACTAGCAAGTGAGTCTTTGCCTTAGGGGGGGAAGAAATCGCAAAAGGGATCTCTTTAAATAGCAACTTCTACCCTTTCCTGGCTCAAAAATGGCTTGACTTCATTTAGACATAACATGTCATAAGCAGACCTGTCCCATAAAGCTAGGTACTTCTGGAAGCTTCTGCACACATAGCCAATTCCTTCCTTACCTGAAATGGCCTGAGCTTGGAACATTTTCATCTGAGAATAGTTCAGTGAAAAGGGAGTAAGTTTCTGTAGTCAGGAAGCCACTTTTGAGTTTCAGTTCCACCATTACCATGCGGCCTCAGGCAAACCGTGTCCCCGACCTCCTTTCCTCCAAATCTTTCTGATTGTCTTGGCCCAGTGCCCATCACATGGCTTACAAGCCATGTCCTAATTCTAGTGGAGCAGCAACATGGCAGAGCATGGAAGAGCCAGGACTCTGGAGACTGACTGCCTGGGTTCGAATCCCAGCAGTGGTGCTGCATGGGGAAGGTCATTAAACCCTTCTGTGTCTTCGTTTCCTAATTTATAGCAATTCCTCATAAATCTCATGCTGTGAGGGTTACGTGCAGGCACTGACAATGGAGTGTTTGCTATCACTGCTGTTAGAATACCGCTGCTACCAGTGACCTCTATTGTTAATTGTCTGAGTATCTTTATCTTCTAACATATACCATAAGCTAAGGCCTGGGGGTTCTCTCTGGGGAAGAAAGGCAAGCTCCTCAAAATATCTGGCCACACAGAATTTCAGGGAGAGGTGGGGGAGTACATGTAAACTGGTCAGAACAAACAGACGAGGTGTTTTTAAGTCTGGAGCACCCACCTCATCACAGGGAACTCTCCTGTCTCATCACCCACATGTAACCCAAGAGCAGCCCACCAGGACCAACCTTGATCAAGTGGTTATGGTCCAGAAAGGCTGGCAGAGAAGGCCCAGCATAGAGGCCACACCAGTGTTTTCTTTATAAAAACAAAACTGCCCTACACTGAACTAAAATTAAGTAATATTCTGCTCTCCCAAAGAGATTCACGAAGCCTTCCAGAGTAAAAACACCAGCCAACCTCAAACCGCCCATTAGGTCTGTGAATTAGTATGTCTTTATTTGCTTCAGTTTCTCCTCTGCAATGCAAATGTGTGCTATTTTGTACTTTCTTGTTTGGCAATAAGGGTGCTCCCAAGTATTCGCTGGCCTGGGGGCCACAGTGGACAGGGGAGGTATGGAAGGTCACAGTTCTCCAACAACAACAGAAGACAGTTTCCAAACTTAGAGCTGGCAGCATGTTGGGCTGTTCCCGCCACCTTGGTGTAGTGGCTAGAAGCCAGCTTTACAGATGGGCTGGGCTAGACAAAGGTGTTCTTTCTTCTCCTTCATGCTGGAACGTGGCCCCCACTCTCTACCCAGTGTCCCCCAGCAGCTAAACCGACATGGGTGTGAGCTGGGTTGGTGTGCTGGTGGGGGTGATGAAAAGAAATAGAAGTCCCATTTCCTACCTCCACAGAGCACAGTCTAGTGGGAAGACAAAGTTTAAAAGTTCATGGCTAGAAGGCTAGTGTCCAAGGTCTGAAAGCACCAGTCAGGGAAAGGGGCAATGACGAACAGCCTGAATCTCAGTCTTGGAGCCTCTTGGCTCCTGGGAAAGGAACCTGGGCTTCCATGGGTATGGAGGTCAAAGGAAAACAGAGTAAACAGTATTTTAACTTAAAAGTCTGTAAGAAGAAACTGACCAGGCTATGTGTGCTTATGTAATTGGCACATAGACCTGTAAATATATGTAGTGCCCTCTTAAATATATCATACACCTGAGGATCTAGGTGTAAAGGTGTATCTCTATATAATTTTCTTTCTTTAAATAATTTTTGTGGGGAGGGCTAGTAAGAGCTTGCAAAAACAAGAGAAACAGGCACATCCCTTCCAGAAATATAACTGTGTGCTGCCTGCCCCCACCTCCATCCATAGTAATGTAGACCATAAGCAGCACAAGTTTTGAACAAAAACAGTTCCAGTGGCAAACTAGATTTAGCTTCCAGTGCAGCTTACTGCTGTGTCCAGAAGTTGCACATCTGCAATTCGTCAGCATATTCAGAGGGGACAAGATGCCCACGAGAAAGCCCCTGCCTCTCACCCTCTCCTTCCACCTCTCATACAACCACCTTCAATCAAACCAGACCTTTCTACCCCAATCTGATGGTTGGACTTTCCTGCTAGCAGGTTGGAATGCAAAGTTTGGCTGGGTTATGGATCAAGGATCCCTTAAATGAATTAATGTATACCAACTTAAGACCATGGATTTTGCCCATCTTAGATCTTGGGATCCTGTTGAGAGCACTACAGACCCTCCCTATGGTAGAGGAGTTGATTCAGCCATCACGTGAGTGAGATACTTTCAGTATATACACATACCCCGCCCCCCCGCTACACACACACACACTCTGTCCCATTCCTGTCTCTCTGAAGGCCCTTTAGAATGATTTTTGCTGACTTAAGGTATGGTTTTTTAGGAGGACAGCGATGGTAGGTAAGGCATACCTGGCCAGCAGGTAGGATGAATTTCTCCAAAAGCAGAAGTCACTGTTAGTGTCAACCCCAGGGAGGGGAATGTTCTTCTGATGGGCCCCTAGCAGGCAGGATCTAGGTAAGCAGAAAGGCCTGGACTGTGGGCTCAC